AAATAACATCTCCTTCATAGGTTTGCATACACCTTTAAATGATCTGGAACACCCGATATACCTGTGAGCTTCTGAGGATAACTCGCAGCATCAAAGTTTGGGCTGGGTACACTTCTATATATTGAGGTAACCCCACAAATACAGCTTCCCTGACATCCTTAACAATTTTGAAGAAAGGGAATTGTGAACCTCTATAAGCCATTTCTCTGCATATGTCAAAAATACAAACCTTTAGTAAATAAAAAATAAAAAACAGTTGGTAATGCTATCTGAAAAGGTTCAGTTGGATCTTTTTATACAATAGATGTTTATACTTCAATGTATATACACCCAAAAAAGTAGGCATATGATTGTAGTTTTTTTTAGAGATAGATATTGGAATACACACATCTTGGGAAAAGGAGACAAAGGCTGATATCCTCTCCACAGATTCCATCATCACAAGCAACTGGTCTTCATTTTCTGACTGCCTGTAGGTACACACAGATACCGGTACCTCTCCAGATAATCTCACAGCATCCACCTAGAAAACAAAATTGAAAAGAAACTTCGTAAAAACATGAAATAGCACTATTATAGTAGATACACAAATATTGAGTGACACAGCATTCATGTGGTAAATATTCCAATTTGCAGTGCACTGAACCTTTAACTAGCAATGCCTTTTGCACCATGACTTAAAACTGGTTTTCCTTTTTGAATACATTGTCCACATTTGATCACTGCTACACTTGGTAATGTACAAATACAAATGGTAATGCTCCTTTCATTGTTGTAGGCTGCTCATTCACAGTCGAAAGCTGTATGCATCAAAATTTCATTTCGTATACTCTTTATATACAAAATGACAAAGTTTGTCTAAATCTAACCAAGGAACTGCTTCAATGCATCATCTACACAAATGGTGCATTCAAGCTCAACTTTCATGAATACATTTTGCCAGTTAAATGGACTTTTACATGATCAGTTTTTCAGTTACCATCACACTTAAGGTATACTGCAATATTGCAGAATATTTGTTTCCTCAATATCATACAGACGGAGTGATAACATGGTGAGATGTACAACTCAGAAAACAATTTCAGCTTAGTGTTTTTCATACCACTTGTCCAGACAGGGTAGCAATGGTTCCATCTGCTAGCTGATAATCTTCTTCCAGGGCTTCTTCCAGGACCTGATTAGTTCTCCTTAAAACAGATGACAGCTTCTTTCCAACCAGTTCCTTAGTGGAGCTCTCAAACAGTTTGACAGCCTGGTCATTTACTGATAAAATCTGATAAGAATAATAAAAAAAAAAAAAGGTGACATATTAAAGTTGTTAGTTTCCAAATATTGAGGATCAAGCAACAAACATTACTGACTGCATGTTCATTACCTCTGCTGTTTCATGGCAGACAAGAATAACTTTGTTAGGGCTGATGGAAGATGGATGTCCAGACAGGGCTACATCTCCAGAAATAATCCGATTGATGAGACTTTCCTCAGGTTCAGGGGAAGCATTGGGCAAGGAGTCAGAAGAAACTTGGGAGCCAAGAAGTAAACAATATTTCTTCGCAGACATGGTGGTGTAAACATCCAAAGGCTCTCCTGTGGGGAGAACATTAGGATTTTTATTGCTGGACAAACCAGTTCCTCATAAAAAAAAAAAAAAAATTGAATGAATTAAAGTCATGATTTAAGTGAATTTAAAAAGTTCAAACTCTGCCTGTCATTTTGTCAGACGTAGACAACCTCTTATTATAATAATTTGAACTTGTAATGCACTTTATATTGATACAAATCCCAAAGTGCTATAGTAAAACAGGTAAGTGCTAAATAAAAACATTACCTGTAATGAAGTCGGGATACTCACGATGCTGCAAATGAAATAAACTATTGCTCGGTCTCTGGGTGCATGGGAAGGACTTATTTAGGTCCAAATCACCCTTCAGTTGAACACAGGAGAGTTTGGGTAGCACACAAATGGTATGTCCTTTATTCCCCGAGCTTATGTACGATCGAGTAGGTCTAACATTGCGTTTCATCGTATAAGAGCGAAGTCAACGAACTAGGAAGGGTTTAACGGACAGCCAAGAAGCTCATAGTATAGCCATTAATACACCCACCTCAACTCAAGAGCTTCGGTTTGTATTCCGCCGTTGTTAGGAGGCAGTTTCAGTTGGTGTTTAGCTGACAAGGTAACCGAGCCTCCGCTGAGATTTTTGGGTGCTAATTGCTATGCTAACGCTAATACTCACATCCCTGCTAGGCTCTCTGCCTCTGCTGCGGCAGCATTATCAGACGAGGTTATCTGGATGTTAGCACAGCCTCATAGACACGGTACTCTTAGTGAAAGGACGGCCCTCGTTATTGTTACTGACGGCTTGAGGCCCGTTACTGGTCTGCACCCCTACGGTGTTGTTTTGGATCTCGCGGGCTTCAAGCATAAGACAGATGCGTTTCTTCTAGCCAATAGGAGTCCTTGCTGGCTTTCGCGGGAATTCTATTGGATAATTAACTGGAAATCACGCTTTTGTTTCCATGGATACGTTCTAATAAAAACCTAGAAATACAATAATTATAACCACAAATTAAATTCACAAAGGGTTTAAATCTAAATATATCTTCTTATTACTGGCCCAAACATCAATGGATCCATAAGCGATATTATTTTTCCTAGGTGTTATTATTATATATATGTAAACCTAAATGTTTATATCACCAACAGTAAAAAAAAAAAAAAAAGTATATATATATGTATATATATATATATACATGTATATATATACATATATATACGTATATATATATATATATATATATATATATATATATATATATATATATATATATATATATATATATATACGTATATATATATATATATACGTATATATATATATATATATATATATATATACATACACATGTATATATATACATGTATATATATATATACATGTATGTATATATATATATATATATATATATACATGTATATATATATATATATATATATATATATATATATATATATATATATATATATATATATATATATATATATATATATATATATATATATATATATATATATATATATATATACACTATATTGCCAAAAGTATTTGCTCACCTGCCTTGACTCACATATGAGCTTAAGTGACATCCCGTTCCTAATCCATAGGGTTCAATATGACGTCGGTCCACCCTTTGCAGCTAGAACAGCTTCAACTCTTCTGGGAAGGCTGTCCACAAGGTTTAGGAGTGTGTTTATGGGAATTTTTGACCATTCTTCCAGAAGCGCATTTGTGAGGTCGCACACTGATGTTGGACGAGAAGGCCTGGCTCTCAGTCTCCGCTCTAATTCATCCCAAAGGTGTTCTATCGGGTTGAGGTCAGGACTCTGTGCAGGCCAGTCAAGTTCATCCACACCAGACTCTGTCATCCATGTCTTTATGGACCTTGCTTTGTGCACTGGTGCACAGTCATGTTGGAAGAGGAAGGGGCCAGCTCCAAACTGTTCCCACAAAGTTGGGAGCATGGAATTGTCCAAAATGTCTTGGTATGCTGAAGCATTCAGAGTTCCTTTCACTGGAACTAAGGGGCCAAGCCCAGCTCCTGAAAAACAACCCCACACCATAATCCCCCCTCCACCAAACTTTACACTTGGCACAATGCAGTCAGACAAGTACCGTTCTCCTGGCAACCGCCAAACCCAGACCCGTCCATCAGATTGCCAGATGGAGAAGCGCGATTCGTCACTCCAGAGAACGCGTCTCCACTGCTCTAGAGTCCAGTGGCGGCGTGCTTTACACCACCGCATCCGACGCTTTGCATTGCACTTGGTGATGTATGGCTTGGATGCAGCTGCTCGACCATGGAAACCCATTCCATGAAGCTCTCTGCGCACTGTTCTTGAGCTAATCTGAAGGCCACATGAAGTTTGGAGGTCTGTAGTGATTGACTCTGCAGAAAGTTGGCGACCTCTTCGCACTATGCGCGTCAGCATCCGCTGACCCCGCTCCGTCAGTTTACGTGGCCTACCACTTCGTGGCTGAGTTGCTGTCGTTCCCAAACACTTCCATTTTCTTATAATACAGCTGACAGTTGCCTGTGGAATATTTAGGAGCGAGGAAATTTCACGACTGGATTTGTTGCACAGGTGGCATCCTATCACAGTTCCACGCTGGAATTCACTGAGCTCCTGAGAGCGACCCATTCTTTCACAAATGTTTGTAAAAACAGTCTGCATGCCTAGGTGCTTGAATTTATACACCTGTGGCCATGGAAGTGATTGGAACACCTGATTCCAATAATTTGGATGGGTGAGCAAATACTTTTGGCAATATAGTGTATATATAGGACAAGACTTAGACAAACTTTGTCATTTTGTTTACAAAACGAAATTTCGTTTTGTACAGCTCTCATGACATTTCCAATTCTGAATATGCAGCAGTGATCAAATGTAAAAATTGGGAGAAGAAAAAACATGGTGCAAAAAAACGAACTGATATGGTCAGACTGGGACATGATTTAAGTTTTTTTTTTTTATTTTCAACATTCAGCTCTTTTTTCAGTTTTTTTACTTTTTTTCAGTTTTTTTAATAGTTCAGTAGTCTGATGGCGGAGCGGAAGAAGCTGTTTTGAAATCTGCTGGACCTGCATTGGTGGGGGTGTGAGCTGTCATTGATAATGTTGCGGGCTGAAGTCTGACATGAAATGTCTTTTACGGAGGGAAGAGGAGCCCCGATGATCTTCTCTGCAGTTCTCACTACTCTTCTTACCTTCTTCCAGTCTGTGGCACTGCAGCTTCCACATCACTCAGTGAGACAGCTGGTCAGAATGCTCTCTATGGTGCTTCTGTTGAAGGTTGCAAGGATTAGTGGGGACAGGTGGGCTCTCCTCATCCTCCTCAAGAAGTACAGGCGCTTTTGTGCCCTTTTCAGCTGTGAGGTGGTGTTTACAATGTAATGAACGGTCAATAAATTATATTTTCTGAGATAAAACAGGAGGCATCGTACTCTAAGCGTACCTTTTTATTTTCATGTACAAATCTGATGGACAACACCATAATACACGTCTGAACAAACAGAACATGACAAGGATGATCCCATTATATAAAACAGCCATTTGGGAGAAGTTGGGTAAAACTCTGCTTGTTCCTGGTAGAAAGTACTGCTAGGGACCATATGGTGTTCTTTTTTTTTATCCACTAGGTCTCTTCATTAGCCACATGGCTTTATTTGTTATCCACTAGCTCCCCTGTGGGAGGAACATCACCCCGACATCGATGGGACAGTTCGCTATCTGCAACACTGACTGAAATGAAATGAATCAGATGCAATTTGTTCTGACAGAAACTCTGCCAGAATACAAAACTAAAATGGGTTGAAAGGGCACAGTAGGAAAATACACTCTGCGGTGCTGTTGCATAAGTGGAAAAGAGAACAAAACAATAGAACTCCTCATTAAGGAAACATGCTTATATAACAGTCATTACCTAAGTTTATTTATATATATATATATATATATATATATATATATATATATATATATATATATATATATATATATATATATATATATATATATATATATATATATATATATATATTAATAAATGAATATTTCATTGGATCAATTGCAAAAACAACGTTTGGCAACATTTAAATTTTCAAGTTCTGAAGCAATAACATGGACAAGCAAGCTCCAGCTGCAGGGGGAATGTTCGTCCATACTGCTGAAATACATATCATTACTAATCACGATTTTTAACTATTTTTACAATACATACATTAAGTAAAATAGATTTCTCTAGCCGTAGGTCCGTTTTAATACATATTTTCTTTGCCATAGTTAACTGGATGCTTAGAGGTAATAGATTTTTCTTAAGTTTTCTCTACATGCATTTACAGCCATTCTAACAGAGTATACAACTAATACTATTACTTTCCCAGCACTATTTGGTTCAGCACCTCTGCAGAGTTTGCTGCAGATGAGTTTTTCTTTTTTTAAAAGCAGGGAATTGTCTCGATGGATCCTCCAAATCACGTTCAGTTCGATTTCTGGCTGCTTTTGCATGCACGCTTTGTCGTCATGTAGCCCACTTCACAGTTATGAGTTGAAAGAGCCAAGTACAATCGCACAGTCCTCCACAGATACACACAGTCGTGGGCACGCACTTATGGTGCCATGGCTGTGAAAAGTGAGCTTTGAAAAGCCTTATGAGTGTAGTTTAGTAGAGAGTGTCCATCCTAATGGTGGTAATCCCTTTTACTGTGTGGACGGTTTCCCAGAATATGGTCCATTTCAGAGGCAATACCTGCTGAAATCTTTGGAATTACCTGAAATGTACAGAAGAAAGGCATCATCAAAGTTAAACAATGTCCAGCAAACTAACACAAACTATTATAAACGGTAGCCCAGGGTGGAAAATGCATGAACAGGTACCTGAATGGCTCCTAGGTTTTCTGTCAGCTGAGTGGGATTGGAGGCCCCTAAGAGCACTGAGCTGACTCCCTCGTTTCTCAAGCACCAGGCTAAAAGATCAGGATAGCAGGTTTTAGTCTAATGTGGCTTTTGCTAGTCTATATAAATGACAATTAACTGTGAAGAAGTTCCCTTCAGGTTGCAAAAAATAAACTTTAGCACATACGAAAAGATAAAAAAGAGTCTGGATTCTTTACCTATGGCTAACTGTGGCAAGGTGCATCCTAGTTTTTCTGAAATATGAGTCAGTTCTTTTAGCTTGGATTGTTGTTTTCTTCCATCCTCACTTGTTATCTTCTCCCTTAACCACTGATATGGCTAGAGAGGCAAAAGAGGCATAAACAGTGATAAATTGTACAGATAATAAAAGAAGGTTAAACCCCATCTTCCTACAAAAGAGGTTTTATTATGTTTGTCACGTTTCAGTCACCAACTTCAATGTCACCTCTCATAATTTAACTTAAGAGGCAACTATACCATGCAGTGCATATTCATGAAATTGAAAGAAACTAAGAGAATGTTTTTTTAAATTTTTTTCATAAATAAAAATAATATAAAAAGCAAGGCAACAACAGTTTTTCAGCTTCATTTAGCACTTTTTAGTACCACATTTTTCTGTAATTACATCTCTAATTCTTTTGAAAAATACCATTTACAACTCTTTTTTCGCATATTGACACCTCCATTTTGGCCCATGTAGAATAATTCAAGCTAAATCAATTCCATGAACAGAAATTTGAAATTCATCACACACACAGGGATGTTACATTTCTAAATTGTGGCTCTATATATATATACAAACATACATACATACACACACACACACACACACACACACACACACACACACACACACACACACACACACACACACACACACACACACACACATATATATATATATATATATATATATATATATATATATATATATATATATATATATATATATATATATATATATATATATATATATATATATATATATATATTTTTATTTATTATTTTTTTTATTTTATTTTATTTTATTTTTTTTATCTGGATGATGGTTCTGGCCAATGCTACATTGGCTGTTCGAAGCATTTAGTTTTATAAACTAACCTACACGGACTTATCCCTGACAAGCCTGCTTAATTTTAATGATGCTGTTAATTCTTTGAATAAATCTTTGAGGCTTTCACTTTTGAGCTGGATTTATACTAAGATTTCATTACATACAGGCTGACAGTATTACTAAAAGGACTTCTAAAGAAAAATAGATCACTCTTTAATTTAGAGGCATCGGAATTGGGGTAGTGGGGGTTGAAGAGAAAGACAAATTATACTTTTCCAAATTCTATTTGTAAAATATTTTCTAAATGGATATTCCTTTAAGCTCTACCAATGCAAATATGGGTGTTGGTCTTTCATTTTAAATTCTAGCAAAATGCTTGAGTGATATGGCAAAATGTAAAGTAGTTACTCATAAGCACTTTTTCAAACAGTTTTATAATTGTATTCCATTCAATCTAAAAAAAAAACTTTAAACCAAAGAGAACATTTTTTTGTTTTGTTTTTTTAATATATCAAAGTATAAGGTGTGAAAGTCTGACTCAATAGAATCCCGTCTTTACCTTCATGGCAGCCCTGGAGGATTCTGGGATGCCATTCTCATACTTTCCAGTGATGATTCCACAGGCCAAAGGAGACCAAGATACAACACCCACACCTGTAAAAGAACAAAGGCTCGTGTGATGCTGATGGCACATTACAACGACCTTTTAAAACCTAAAGAATAAGAAGAAACGTAGACCTACCTATTTTATGGTAGAGCTCGGGAAGCTGAGTTTCTACCTTCTCCCTCTGGAAAAAATGATACTCGGCCTGCTCGCAGACTGGCGGAATAAGATTAAACTGTCTGGCCACAGAATAGGCCTCCTAATTAAAAGGGGAAGAGGAATTCAAGAGATAAGGAAACATGCAACACTGACCTTTATGTTTCATGACTTTTATCTATTCTAGGATACCATCTTTCAGACCTGGCATCCTTGGTGTTTAATTGCATTGGATTCATTATTCATTCTTACATTTTAAAGAAAACAGGGGGTATTTTACAAAACAGAAATCTTTAGCAGTTAGATAAAAATGTTCTTATATATATTTTCTCAAATGCTAGTTTTTTCTTTTGAGTGTTGTAAAAAGATATATATCAGTACAATACCCAGTATCAGGCATTTATCTAATGCTGTGTATAACTTTAGTAATAACAAACTGACCATGATCTCCATGGCAGACCAGCGAGATGTACCCCAGTACATGGACATGCCTTGGTTTATCACATGAGTCATTGCTCGCACAATTTCTACAAAAAAAAAGAGACAGAAAAGAACAGCAAATAAGAACATTAGTAGTCATCAGACAAAATTTGGAGTAATTTTTGTGTTTATTTATTTCTTGAAAAAAATGTCTAGGGAAATGTAAAGTGTATATTTTATTGACATCTCCAAGATTTACTTCCATGTCAACTCATATGTGAGCCTCACATTACTTAATGTGTGAAAATACTGTGGGACACCAATAAAAAAGACAATATGTGGATTGTTAAGTGCAAATAAGGTTTAGATGCAAGGTGAAACTGAAGGGGTAAAAATCAGCCATGCCCTTCAGGGGTCTGTTTGACTATGACACAGAAAGAGCAGAGATGGTCTGTTTTGTGTTATAAATTCCAGGCAAAACTGAGCTATTAATCAACCTATGTGAAGAATTAAAAAAAAAAATTTAAATCGGGAAAACGTTTGCTGCAACATCGCACCAATACCTCACTGTGCACATATTATTTATTACAAAATTCAATTTGTAATATTTATATGCTGTTATTGAAGCTTCTCTTCCATTTGCACAGTGAAAAAGCTGGATGAAAAAGTGTGAAAATTCTATGGGAAGAATTAGGAAGAGATTTAAAGACAGAAGAGGAAAAAACAAAAACAACCTAATGATTTTCTTTTATTACTGGATCTTCCTTTGAACCAAACGGTGCTTCAGTGAGAGACAGAGAGCAAGTGTATGTGCGTGGGTGAAACAGGTGGGAGGGTTGAGCATTTGTTCTAAAGTGGGGGTATAGGAAGAAAGAACTTGGAGGAATGTGAGGAGAGAAAGGACAAATAACACAATTGAAGTCTAGTTTTATTATGTCTATATCTATGACAGAACCTGTTACGTATCTTTGCCTCCCCTCACAAATTAAACAGGACTATTACACCTACTGTACCTCTGTGCTTTAAGCATTAAATAGAATCTGAAGGAAGTGCTCTAACTTAAACTTCATCTCAACTTGTAAATTTGAAGTCATATGCAGGGAGTTAAAGTTTGCAGATACAATATAGAAAAGCAGAGGAATAAAACAATACCTTTATGTGATCAGTTTTAACTTTGCTATTGTAGAGTTAAAACTCAACAACATAACAGCCCAAGGCAGGCTCAGACAGGAAACAATTTTCGGCCCTGGCATTTTTCCATGTACACCGGCCCACTTATGAACCAAAGTCTATTGATCTCTTAGGCCATAAATCTAAAGAAATCAATTTTTTACCCATAGACATCCATCCTAAACTGCCAGATAGGGAAACATCCCAACCTGGCAACAATGCACGTAAGACGGGAAACGTTAGCCTTTAGATGCAAAACCCCATCATGCACCGCAACATAATTTTGCAAAATATTCAAACATAAATTTGCCAAATATAAGAGGAACATCATAGTTTGGTCTAAAGAAAGCATTTTAGTATTATTATAATTTAATTTGTGCAAGGATTTTACAGTTTGAAGAAATAGAAAATTACACACTACACCAACCATCACAAGAATGTGCATGATAAGGAAGGGCTATCTGTACTGCATGCATTACTTAGGTAGTTATTGTATTATTTCTTGAACTCCTTGAGTTATTTACTGTCACAGGTAGGTGCTTCAGGTGGAGAGTAAGTGTTGGGACTGGTATGATTTAAGGAGGGCTGGCCCTCGCACATTGAAATTAGGACCGACCTACCGGGCAAATGCCCGGTATCACAGATTACCAGTCCGAGCCTGGCCCAAGGGATGTGTTTAAATTACTCAGCTAACAGTTTTATCATCTGTCATATTTAAATATAGTCTGAATTTTATCCAAAGGAGGAAAACCAACCTTGTAGTGACTGCAAATTAAAATGATAATTTTCAAAAAGTTCTGCTAATTTTAGCTCAGTGGTTGTTTGGCTGGAGGGGGGGCTTCACATGATTTTTACCATGATCAAACTTGACTTCAGTTTTGGTAGCAGAAAATAAAAATGCTATACCATAGGACATGGGATTAAGTCTAAATATTGGGGAACAATGTTCATGCTGACTTTCTTTTGACATTGGTGCTCTCCAAAGTAATCCCATGTAATCTAAAATCAATGAGTGTCCCTGGCATCATCATTATCCCAGGGACAATGATGCACAGATTTCCCATCTACTTTGCCCATTGTCATGATCTCTGCACTGATTACTGGATTATTGGTTTATTTTCATTATCACTCATCAGATCCACCTGTTCCAGTTCCTATTTAAACTGCTTGGTCCCAGCCATCAATGCCAGATTATTCGAGCCTTAGGTGAGAGTTCTCTAGCGTACCCATTGTGTTTATCCAGATTGCCTGGTCCAGACTAGATTCTGCTCCTGGACTTCTGAGTTTGCCTGCCCCTGTTCTGATCTATTTGCCTGACCTGTCTATGGACTAACAATGGATTCTGCCTGCTAAAAACCTTGGATCTCCGGAAGGAGTCTTGACACCCATGAAATTTCAGCGAGATGCGCCACATTGGGGGGAACAAAGACAACATGGCTAAAATGACTTCATTCCTCAACCGCTCCCAAATTGCTAAAGAATGAACTCTCTGAAACATTCTTTCTGAGTCTATATGGGTAATTCAGAAGTCTAAGGCTTCCATACAAAAGAGGAAAAAAGGTCAGAGGCCTCCTGGCTTCTGAGCACAGACCTACCCATCAACCCAGCAGGGCTAAGTTTTCCTGAACTTTGTAGATTCCAAAATGGAGATAATCAGAGATTAAATGTCAGGACATTTTCTTAGTTGTTGAAATAGTTTTCCTTACTGTTTATATGTAATGTTTAGTCATAGAATCATCTTGAAGACACTGCAAGGAGTGGAGTGATCTTGCTAATTTGGGTAATCGTGTACATGGAGTGTTAAAGTTTTGCTTGTGAAGCTACAGTTGTCGTTGATGGTGACGTTTTACATCAACCCAACCTGGATGGTTCATGGTAGATCTAGGACTGGTTTGACAAAAGTAACCAAAGCCGTGTCTATTAAGGTGTTGAGCGATCTGGATGCTGGGACTTAGTGCCTGAGAATGACATCACACCAAATTTAAAAGCCTTGGAAGTCCAAAAAAAAAAAAGGCATTTGGTATTTGTTTTGTTGTTAATTATGAGGCTTTTATTAACTTTTTAGTATGTTCGAACTCAACATGAATATGTTTATATTTTTTCCTCAGCAATGCCACAGGCTCAAAATCTACAAAACATTAGAATTTAATTCATATTAGCAGTGTACATTCACACAGAGCCCTTTTGGATACAGATGTCCATCTTTTGAAAGTGTTCTTGTTTTATCTGGACTAGATAGAAAACCAGACTTTAGTATACAAATATAACACAAAATAAACATTTTCTAACAATTGTTAGAGTTTACAGTTTAGTGAAGATAACCAGTACATTTTAGAGTTTTACCTAATTTATTAAAAGACAATAAAAGAGAGAAGCTTATTTGAATGAAAAAGTAAAAGCTTGCAACAGGAGGTACAGAAACGTGACCTCTGTTCATTAAGGCAACAAACTCCACCTGCTAGCTCCTCCAAACACTCCCTTAATGGTACGCACTCAACAGAAAGTTGCTTGGCAGTTAGCCAGGGTTCATCTGTCCTTGAGCCCTCTTACAGCAGCACTACGCCACTGAGTCTGGAACATTTGGTAAGCTCCCTGCAGCAGGCATGACAGTACCCCTTCTGAGTAGCAATAGGAGAGTGAGAATGCCCTCAACACACCGATTGCTGTACATGTCTGGACAGGTGTCTCTTTGGATGTCATTGTATCTTCGGATTTGTTCTGAAATGTTTCTGCTGTTAAGGCATTATTCATTTTTCTTCCTGCATACAAACAGACAGGGTGGTCATCAACATGCCGCATCACAGGCAATTTCCAACCCCTAGGAAAGCCACATCCAAGTTTTATGGTTATGGGAGGGAAGGATATGTTAAAAAAAAATACTTTACTCCTGAGAAGTGTGTTTGCATTCTTGGATTATTATAAAATTATTTTATTTAGAGAACATGTATGAATTTCAGGAGGTTTTGTGTGATTCTTTATCAAAAACCAGATGCTAGAATAATGATTTGATTCAGGGCCTTAAGCTATTTAGTTACCAGGCCTTGGTGTAGCTATTAATACAAGATATTGACATGCATTTTGTTCCGGAGGGCAAAGATCTCATTGTGTATGCTGTGTGACAAATATTATAAATGACACAATTTGACGGCATGCTAGATGAAATTTTACCACGGGGGAAACCGTCTATGCACTGCCAGCTTTATAGCTGATAAATGCAACAATAAAACCAAGAAATGAAACAGAATTTCCTCTTACAGGAAAGGTAAAAACAAAAAAACAACATAAAACCAGTCAAGAAAGGTTGGAAAGAGTCAGAGAAGAATGAGGTCATAGGATGAGGGATGTGGTGATTTTAACAAAGACAGACTCTGCTGCCATGATGTCACTTTTTATCCCCAAGGGGACTCTTGTCTTGCCTTGTCTTGAGCCGTAAGGGTAAAAAAAACAAAACACACTCATGCACAAGCACTTGTTATTTAGCATTAGAATTCCTTACAAAAATGCCACCATGCTTCATTCTATAATTATATTGTTAAGCCAGTTTATATTCCTATGTGTAAAACCATTTTTCAAACATGTGGATAACAAGTTCACTTTGCAGCATGGGTCCTAAGCATAAAGAGCAACCAGTGGGAAGTATTTAGGACACATTACAGAACTGATGCATGACATTAATCCTAGAGTGGCTCCAAGAAGCCAAAATCAAGTTAAAATGATTTTCTTCTCAATGATTTATGCCCTTAGTTCCAGTGCATAAATATAAATGTTCAAGAATTTGAATTTAAAATCGTAATTATACCACAGTAAGCAGAGAGTGAGGCACGACTCATAACAAGCATAACAAGATTAACCAATTTCCTGATTTCTAAAAGGCAAACATTTGGAAAAGAACTTATTGAATATTTTACGGAACATTAGTTTTTTACTACATCACCTT